GCTAGTATTACAGGAGCGTGCCACCACGCCTGGCTAGTTTTTGTATTTTTAGTTGAGATAGGCTTTCACTATGTTGGCCAGGCTGGTTTCGCACTCCTGACCTCAGGTGACCCGCCCACCTTGGCCTCCCAAAATGCTGGGATTACAGGCGTGAGCCCTGCCACCTCCCCTCAGTCCCCCATCCCCCTGTCTTAGCATTTCTAAGTAGCTCCCATGTGCTCCTTAGTTACATACCTGTCATGTAGGCTGAGTGCTTTGAGGGTAGGAGGCTTACATACCTGTTTCGTGCTGCTTGACACAGTAGGTGCTTAGTAAATCACTAAACAAAAAGATTACGAATGAGAAGGACATGGGCAATAGTCTCAGCAGAAACTCAAACCCTTTCTGTTTGAAAGAAATCCTTTGCTGGGGACGGTTTGAGTAATGGGGAAAAATGGGTTCTGGAGCCAGATTTAAGCAGCTGTGTAATCCCAGATGAGTGACTTGACCCCTTTGGGCCTCATTTTCACCTGAAAAACAAGGTTAATAAAGCTCACAAGGGTATCGTGTGTGAAAAGCTCACCACTGAGCTGGGCATGTCGCAGGTAGAGTCTTGGCTGTCAATACACAAAAATGGCTTCAGGCCGGGCACGGTGGCTCACACCTGTAATCCCAGTACTTTGGGAGGCCAAGGCAGGTAGATCACTTCAGCCCAGGAGTTCCAGACCAGCCTGGGCACCACAGAGCCCCATCTCTAAAAATATTTTAAAAATTAGCTGGGTGTGGTAGTGTGCACCTGTCTCAGCTACTTCGGAGGCTGAGGCAGGGGACTGAATTGAGTTTGGGGGTTTGATGCTGCAGTAAGCTATGGCTGTGCCACTGCAGTCCAGCTTGGGCAAAAAAGTGAGACCCTGCCTCTTAAACCCAAAACGTAACAGGCCAGATCGCTTGAGCCCAAACGTTTGAGACTAGCCTGGGCAACAAGGTGAAACTCCATCTTTACAAAAGATACAAAAATCAGCCATGTTTGGTGGCGCGTGCCTGTACTGCAGCTACTTGGGAGGCTGAGGTGGAAAGAACGGTTGAGTCTGGGAGGTTGCGGCTGCTGAGAGCCGGGATTGCGTCACTGCACTCCAGCCTGGGCGACAGAATGACATCCTGTCTCAAAAAACATGAAACATACCAAAAAAAAAAGTTTCATAAGCACAGCTGTCACAACGTTCCTGGACTTCCCATGTTATTCTGTTCAATAAAGTCACGTCATTAATTTAGCTGTGCTCCTATTTTCATTGTATCATCTAATCGATTCACAAATTGCACATCCTTATTTTTGGCTCCGAAGAAAAAACAAAGGTTGCAGTAAGTCTAGACGTGACAACCAACTTGGCTTGCTCTTTCTCCTCCTTCCACATTTTGTTGCTGGGCACACTGAAGACAGGGTCACTCAAAAAGAGACCCTTGCTGACAAATCGGGACCAATTTTGATTCCCTGGAAACCATTTATTTTTGGCAAATGCCAGTGATGAATACACACGTCATTCTCGAAGAAAAGTCTATAGCATTTAAGTCTTGAAAACAGGTGACAATTGAAAAAATAATAATAATATTTTCAGGTCTTTTAATAACTTAATGTTCTGTGTCCTTCAGGCTGTGAGACCTTAAGGTATTGGGGTCTGGTAATGCCCCACCTATAGCAAAGGGCCTGTTGGGTGACATAGGACAAATACACAGCAAAATTCAGAAACTGCAAGTACTTCCTCACTTGAATGGATCTGGCTTGACCCCTTTGTGATTGGGGCTTGACTGTTCCCAGAATGAATGACTTAAAATAAGGTGGTTAAAAATTCTCCTGTGAGTCTTGCCATAGTGAACAAACATTCAGAAATGCCTCCTTCTGTAAAATGAAGGAGCTGGGTTGGAGTCAGTGTTACCAGCCAGACCATACCTTGGATGGGTAAAGGAAATTCCCTACCGCAGAGCCCAGCAGCGAGGAGGCTGACAGGAAGGCAGGCCTGCAGATGAAAGCATGTGAGTGGGGCATGTGGTGCGGGCACTGGCTGGGAAACCGGCCTTCCAGAGGTCAATGTCAGTCTGGCTGGGCACGGTGGCTCATGCCTGTCATCCTATCACTTTGGGAGGCCAAGGCAGGCGGAGCATTTGAGGCCAGGAGTTCGAGACCACCCTGGCCAACACGGTGAAACCCTGTCTCTCCTAAAAATACAAAAAATTAGCCATGCCTGTAATCCCAGCTACACAGGAGGCTGAAGCACGAGAATCACTTCAACCTGGGGGATGGAGGTTGTAGTGAGTTGAGATTGCGCCACTGCACTCCAGCCTGGGCAACAGAGCAAGAATCCATCTCGTGGGGGAAGGTGGGGGGTGCGGCAGGGAAAGTGGACCTCCAGGTCTCAGAAATATTTGTCTTTTGATCTGCTGATTTGGTGTAATGTGATTGCCTCATTCACTCCAGTGTACGTACTTGCTGTAAATTTATATACAGAATTAAATAGCCCATTTATTAATTTATAAACCATAATAAAACCAAACAGTCATTTCCCCTCACCAGCAGATCTTGCATCGGAAAAGGAAAATAATATACAAATTTCAGCAACATCAGAGATTTCATGAAGCCTGAATGGAGGTCGAATTAATTTTGGAGTTCGATGACATGTTCAAAGATTCAGGTACTATAATCACAGACAACTCCTGTAATATCTCTCTGCAGTGCAAAATGATCCCTGTTTCTTGTCATTCACCAGTGAGAAAAATCCAACTGCAGACTTGACTGCCTTCGGTGAAGGCACGCGGCAAGTTCTTCTGACAAATAGCAGCCTTCACATCTTACACAGCAATTGTCTCAGCTTTGGGACCAAAGTATATACAAAGCAAGCGAACAAGAGACGAAGGAAGAGGGACACTTCTGAGGCCGGTGGTGCGGAAACTCACCACCAAGCAGGGTGGTCCAGGAGTGTCTCAGGTGTCAGCTGACACAACATCTTAAATACAGAATTCCAAATGAAAGAAAAACCACAAAAAGAACAGGAGTCAAGCATAAGCGATGTTAATTCCTCTCTGAACGGGGAAACATTTCACTCGCTGGGAGATAAAAGGTAAACCTCTCATTGGCTGCTCTCTCCCCTCAAGTGCCAGCAAGAAGCTGGCTGTGAAGAAGAAAGAAGGCAGCCATCACCTAAGACCCCACACAGGCCAAGCCGTGGTCCCCTCCATGAGGGCACAGTCCTTGCAAGAAGCCGTAAAAGACAGAGACCACAGCTCGGACCTGAGCACCCAGGGTTACCTCCTGGGGTCTTGTCATATTCCTTATGTTGATTTCTGCCAAGACCCAAACTAATTTTTTTTTTTTTTTTTTTTAGGCCGTGTCACCCTTCTCCCAGGGAGGGGGGGCTGTGGTGTGATCTCAGCTCACTGAAACCTCTACCTCCTGGGCTCAAGTGATTCTCCTGCCTCAGCCTCCCAAGTAGCTGGCATTACAGGTGGGTGCCATGATGCCTGGCTAATTCTTGTATTTTTAGTAGAGACGGGGTTTCACCACGTTGGCCAGGCTGGTCTCAAACTCTAGTGATCCGCCGACCTCAGCCTCCCAAAGTGCTGAGATTACAGGCGGGAGCCACCGCGTCTGGCCCCAGACTGACTCTTGACCAAAGAATCTGATTTGGCAAACCAAATCTTCGCGCAGTGTTAGCTCCTCGTCCCCTTACCCAGAACATGATTCAGATCCTAACATAAACACAAAAACAGGTCAGGGAACCAACACACTGTGGTCTCGTCTATTACTATGGAGATAATGTTCATGATTCATTCTGTTTTCAGCAATTGTGACAATTTTGAAGCTTCTCCTGAAGCTTCAAAACACATTATTTCCTACTAAATACCAGAATGTGTCACACAGGCATCACCAGTGGGAACTTTTTTTTTTTTTTTTTTTTTGAGATGGAGTCTCGCTGTTACCCAGGCTGGAGTGCAGTCTCGGCTCACCACAACCTCCGCCTCCCGGGTTCAAGCGATTTGCCCGCTTCAGCAGCCTGAGTAGCTGGGACTACAGGCGCACAACACCACACCCGGCTAATTTTTGTATTTTTAGTAGAGATGGGGTTTCACTATGTTGGCCAGGCTGGTCTCGAACTCCTGACCTCGTGATCTGCCCATCTTGGCCTCCCAAAGTGCTGGGATGACAGGTGTGAGCCACCGCGCCTGGCCAGGAAACTTTGTTTTTAAACTTTTAGAAACAAAACGGTTTTCAATCCATAAGCCAGTCCTAATGCATCCCATAATGGGGAGCAAGGCAAAAACAGACACACACAACTACAAAATATTCCCTAGAAAAATGCAAGAGCCTCAGAAAATCAAGCTCTCTCTACCAAACAACCTACCAAGTCATCACAGAAGAGGTGAAGACTCTCTCAAAAGACAAGTGCCACAGAAACAGAGCTTGAAATACTGAACATGATTTCTCAAAATCCTCCTCACCACCGCAAGAGAAGCACCCTGCTCTGTCGAGGGAAGAAGAGGCAGAGGAGAGACAGCAGTTTCCCTTGCATCGTGCAGGGCACGGCACCAGGCGGCAGGAACTGGATGCTAACTGCAATCGCTTTTTGCTTTGGAACATTTGCCAGGAACTTGCAAACTGCTAAAGGGATGACCAGGAAACTGGATCCATCTCTGTGCCTGGGGATGTTTTGAATGATTCTCGCAGGCTCCCTGTCTGCTTGGTGACCCTGTTGGTCCTATGTGTATCTGCGCCAGGGAATTAAAGTAGCCAGTCTGACGTTCTCAAGCTCCGTCCTGGACACCCCCACTGCCAGCTCATGGTCTACAGCCACAGTGACCCCAGCTTTTCACACAGGGTCCTGAATGTTAATCTGGAATGCAGACACAAGTGCTCTGAGCTACACTGCTTAGGGAATAATTCCACATGGAAAGGTCCAACGTGGCCAAGATCTCCACAGGGACACGGCCCTCAGATGACAGACTCCAGAAAGAAAGAGCATGAGACACCGGTCTCTGTTTAGGTTTGCCCAGAGCTCATAGCCGTCTGCACTGCAGGCAACGGATCCTGCTGCGGCTCACGGGGGGCCAGGAACCCCAGGTCTTCTGATAGAGACTTATGCACTGTCCCCTCGGCTGGGTTGTACATTCACTGATTGTCAGAAGTTTCTGATACTGCTGTGGGAGCCGGGGAAGGAGTCACAGAACAGTCTGATCCTGTCCTCTGGACTCTACACATCATAGCGGTTCAAACTGTATGAGTTTGGGTAGCTCTGCCGGCTGTACTGGAAGTGGTCTGTTAAGATGTTGTTGCGGCCATACTGATAGTCACCGTGCTGGGGGAAGAGGAGGCCGTTGTGGGGCTTCTCCAGTGGGCTCCGGTGACGCTCCTTGCTGCTCAGGTCTGCTGTGGTGACGGGGAGGAGGTGCTTCCTGGCTTGCTGGTTTGCATCGTACTTGGTCTGTGCCAGAAAGAGAGCAATGAAACAGGACATAAGGAAGAGCTCATAATTCACAGTCAATCAAATGGCTGGCCGTGGTGGCTCACACCTGTAATCTCAGCACTTTGGGAGGCCGAGGCAGGAGGATCACCTGAGCTCAGGAGTTTGAGACCAGCCTGAGCAACATGGCAAAACCCCGTCTCTACTAAAAATACAAAAAATTAACCAGGTGTGGTGGCCCATGCTGTAGTCCCAGCTATTCAGGAGTTCTGAGGAACGAGAATTGCTTGAACCCAGGTGGAGGAGGTTGCAGTGAGCTGGGATCATACCACTGCACTCCAGCCTGGGAGACAGAACAAGACGCCGTCTCAAAAAAAAAAAAAAGGTGAGTTAACCTCCGGGGCCGGCATAAGTCACAGGGCTTGAGCAAGGAAAGCAGACATGAATGGACCAGACCACAATGCGTGGACAGACTCAGGAGGAAAGTCCTTGGCTAGGCGTGGTGGCTCACGCCTGTAATCCCAGTGCTTTGGGAGGCCCAGGCGGGAGGATCACTTGAGACCAGGAGTTGGAGACCAGACTGGGTAAAACAGAGAGACCCCATATCTACATGTGTTAAGAAACAAATGAAGAGGCCAGGCGCAGTGGCTCACGCCTGTAATCCCAACACTTTGGGAGGCCAAGGCAGGTGGATCACCTGAGGTCAGGAGCCTGAGACCAGCCTGGCCAACATGGTAAAACCCCATCTCTATTAAAAACACAAAAATTAGCTGGGTGTGGTGGCAGGCGCCTGTAGTCCCACCTACTCAGGAGGCTGAGGCAGGAGAATTGCTTGAACCCGGGAGATGGAGGTTGCAGTAAGCTGGGATAGAGCGCCACTGCAATCCAGTCTGGGTAACAGAGCGAGACTCCGTCTCAAAAAAAAAAAAAAAAAAAAAGGAAGGCAAGCCCTCTCTGTTGTCTGTTTGCCATCCCATGTACTTAACACTGCACTAAACAGAGCCTTTGAGAGGAGGGAGGGAAATCCCCAGCTGAGACACAGCAGAGTGATTTGAGGACCTCAGGTTGCCTATGCAGGAAAAAGGAAGCCAGGGTGGGATGGGGCTACACCAAGATCATAAACCAGTCAGTGGCAAAGCTTCGACCTACAGCCCCAGCCTCCAGCGCCCGGGAGGCCCTTCCTCTTCTGACATCCTGGGTGCTGAGGGGCCGGCTTCCTTCCCTGCCCAGCCTTCCCCAACTCTCACCTTGTTATAGAGGAAGACCCCCAGGATGGCAGTCATCATGCCCAGGACATTGGTGCTGGTGACTGGGTTGCGCAGCATGATCAGGGACACCGTGATGACCATGATTCTCTTGGTGGCATTGGCTACCGAGTAGCTCAGGGGGCTGACAAGGTTGAGGATGCTGAAGGCGATGACATTCTGGGCAAAGTTACAGAAGCCGCTGACAGCCAGGAGCAGGAGTGTCCAGGGCCACTGGTAGACGTAGGTCTGCAGAGACCGCAAGGCAAAGACAGCACTTCAGTGGGCGGCGGTGACCCCGCCTCCCTGTATCTACCTGGCAGGGTTAGGGGAAGGGATGCGGAGGGGCTCGTCTGGAGCCTCATGGTCCACAGGCAGCCAGCCCAGGTGTGTCACCAAGAGACACTAGGTGCTTTAGGTCCATGACTTCAGCACCTCATGACACCACACAGCATGGGAAATCACCCGCCATCTCCTGCCAAGGAAACAGGTAAAGCCAGGTCCCCAAAGGGTACCAAGCAAGATGTAAGCCAAAGCCATCCCTGGCAGTGAACAGCCAGGAACTCTGGGTTTAGCAAAGCAGGGGTCTGCTTGTTGGCCACAATGCATTCTACAGGGTGGGAGGTCCTGGGAAGGTGGCCCTGAGCCTGCGAAGTACCCAATAATATGAAAGCCACAGGTCTGCACCTATTGCTGTGAGGATGAAACAGAATCATAGCTTTGGAGGTGCTTTACAAGAATCTCAAGCTAAACAAACACAAGAGGTGATGTTATCATCAACAGTTGAGGCCAGGTGCAGTGGCTCACGTCTGTAATCCCAGCACTTTGGGAGGCTGAGGTGAGTGGATCACCTGAGATCAGAAGTTCGAGACCAGCCTGACCAACATAGAAAAACTGTGTCTCTACTAAAAATACAAAATTAGTCGGGTGTGGTGGCGCATGCCTGTTAATTCCAGCTACTCGGTAGGCTGCAGCAGAATCCCTTAAACGTGGGAGGCGGAAGGTCCAGTGAGCCGAGATTGCACCATTGCACTCCAGCTTGGACGACATGAGTGAAACTCCGTCTCAAAAAACAAACAAACAAACAAAAAACAGTTTAGGTTGGGCGTGATGGCTCATGCCTGTAATCCTAGCACTCTGGGAGGCTAAGGAAGAAAAATCATTTGAGGGCAGCCTGGGCAACACAGTGAGACCCTGTCTCTACAAAAAAATAAAAAATTAGCCAGGCATGGTGGTGCACACCTGTAGTCCCAGCTACTTGGGACGCTGAGGTGGGAGGATTGCTTGAGCCCAGGAGTTCAAGATTGCAGTGAAATACGGTGGTGCCACAGCACTCCAGCCTAGGCAACAGTGTAAGACACTGTCTCAAAAAAATCCCACAAAACTTTACCATCTGACCCTGAACAAAATGAGGCCATTCTGAATAAGGGATCAAGAAATCACAACTAGCAGACATCAGGGTCATAGAACCCCCCCCGCCCCAATAATCTAGGCTGGTCCCAGGACAGGCAGACAGGTAAGAATCAGGTAGGCACCGCCCTGTAAGCCAAATTCCAGGCCACGCTGACCTTGGCCACAGTAGGACAGAGCTGGCTCAGCCCAGGGCGACTGATTGGCGGCCCCGCTGGAGCTGCAGGATGTCTGCCTGACTCCATCTCCACTGCACTCCAAGAGAGAAGGATCCCATGGTCCTCTCCAACGCAAGGAAGACACGTTTAGGCGACCAGCTCAATGTCAACCAAGTCAAGACTCGAACTCCCAAATGCAAGTCCATTTACCTGTGCCATACACCCTGCAGCTTCTGCAGGCAACCTCACTGGAGGAGTAGCCCCTGTAATATATACGAGCCCACCAGGATGCCTCCATGGTGGGCCAGCCTGTTCTCCCAGGGTCGCTCCCTAAGGTGATTGGGTTAGGACTCCCAAGCTATTTTCTTCCTGCTTGCATAGGTATCTGTCTTCCGGGAAAGGAACCCAACCAATCTGGCTTACAACAAAAAAAGATACATAATAAAATGGACTGATGTGTCCATACGGTGCACAATTCCAGGCATTTTAACAAATGCATCAATTCATGGAACCACCACGACCATCGGGGATTAGGACACTCCTGGGGGGCTTCTCTTTTGTCCTAACCCCCTCCTCCTAAACCTGGCAACCATCCATGTTTTCTGTCATGATCCGTGTGTCTTTGGGACATTGTCACAGAACTAGAATCACAAGGCTCGGAACCTTCGGAGACAGGCTGCTTTCACTCAGTGTAGCATCACTCAGTGTAGCATATCTGCCATTCCTCCAGGTTGTGAGGGACAAGAGTTGGCACCTTTTCACTGCTGAGTAATGTTCCACTGTATGTAACATTCCATGTACTAAAGTTTCTTCTCTCTTTTTTTTTTTGAGATGGAGATTTGCTCTTGTCACCCTGGCTGGAGTGCAATGGTGCAATCTCAGCTCACTGCAACCTCTGCCTCCCGCGTTCAAGTGATTCTCCTGTCTCCACCTCCCGAGCAGCTGGGATAATCACTGCTTTAAAGTCTTTGTCTGATAATCCCAACATCTGTGTCATTGTACTGTTGGCCCGTGTTGTCTTTTCCCAACCACCTGGAATTTCCTGGTTCTTCATAAACTATGTAATTTTGGCTGGAATCCCGGGCATTGAGCATATTATCAAAGTCCGGGTCTTATTCACATCCTATGAAGAATGTTGATTTTTTTTAGCAGGCAATTGATGATGCTGGGTTCAGGCTACAGGCTTGACCAGCCTTCTGTGGGGTCGTGGTTCCAATGTCAGTTATGTTTTCAAAGCCTTTCCAGTGGTATTTCGCTCTGTCCTGAGTCTGTGCTGCCCGTGGTCAGTCTGAAAGCTGAGCGGTGCTCTCTCCCACAGTTCTGTTCTCAGTCTTTGGTATGCAGTTTAGGATCTGATCCTCACAACGTGTGACGCTCAGGGGCGAGCCTGGGATTCTGTCAGCGACTTTATGAGGTCGCTGTCCTCAGCTCCTCCCTCCACACGATCTCCTGAGTACTTTCCAGTTTCCTAGTCCCTCCCTTTCATGGCCCTCCAGTCAGAAAGCTGGGGTTTAATCACCGCACTCGGCTGTTTACTTCCTGTGATTACAGCCCCATTTGAGGGTCAAGCAGTGACAGTATGGAGCGAGAACAAGCTGCAGAAGGGCTCTTCCCATCCTCCGAGGACCATGTTTCCTAAAACTGCAGAGGAAGGGTCCCCTCTCTCAGGGTTTTAGGTGGCTGTGGAACCTGTTGCTGCTGACATAGGATTGTTGGGGGCCTGGGACGCAAGAGATGAAGGCAAAAAAGAAAATAGAAAAAAACCTAACAGACAGCTGGGCATGCCAGCTGGCGCCTGTCATCCCAGCATTTTGGGAGACTGAGGTGGGGAGATGATCTGAGGTCAGGAGTTCGAGACCAGGCTGGCCAACATGGTGAAACCTCATCTCTACTAAAAATACAAAAATTAGCTGGGAGTGGTGGTGCGTGCCTACAATTCCAGCTACTCAGGAAGCTGAGGTGGGAGAATCGCTTGAACCTGGGAGGTGGAGGTTACAGTAAGCTAAGATTGTACCACTGCACTCCAGTCTGGGTGACAGAGCGAGACTCCATCTCAAAACAAAACAAAACAAAACAAAACTGAAAAAAACAACAAAAATGAGAAAAAGTCTAACAGGCATCCAGGTGTGGTGGCTCGCGCCTGTAATCCTATCTCTTTGGGAGTTGAGGCGGGCAGATCACCTGAGGTCAGGAGTTTAAGACCAGCCTGGTCAACATGGTGAAACCCATCTCTACTTAAAAAAAAAAAAAAAAAAAAAAGAAAAAAAAAATACATAAAAATTAGCTGGGCGTGATGGCACGTGCCTGTAATCCCAGCTATATGGGAGGCTGGAGCAGGACAATCTCTTGAACCCTGGAGGCAGAGGTTCCAGTGAGCTGAGATCGCGCCACTGCACTCCAGCCTGGGTAACAGATCAAGACTCCATCTCAAAAAAAAAAAAAAAAAGGAAAAAGCCTAATAGGGGATTTCCTCCATTCTCTCTGAGGGTTAGGAGTCTCCTTTCCCACTCTCCAAACTCCAAACAGAGAACATCTCTGTTCTCATTCAGGGCCTGCATCTACCTTCTGAGCTGCCTCATGTCCAGGCTGAAGACGCAGGAGGAACAAGAATGACGAACTCACCGCTGGCTCCAAGGCACTCTGAATTCTGGTCCTTCCCCGCGGCCATCTGCAGGCTACCATTTACTTCTTGGTTCTCAAGTAGCTGTTTCGTGTATTCTGTCCAAGTTTTGAAACCAGGCCGCCTGCTCCAGAGTCTAGGAATCCCCGCCTGTCTTTTGCCAAGCCATTTGGCAACTGGGCCAGGCATCTCTGGGAACTGCCCACTCCAGCCTTTGATTCTTGGTAGACGGGAGAGCAGCAGATACCAGCTGACATTCTCCCATCTCATCCTCCTCCCGCCTGTTCTGCAGCATGGGACTGCGATGACACTAACTCACCTGCCGTCTGTGTAGTCTACGTGGAAGATGCAAGACAAAGAGGGAACCCAGACATGTGGGAACCCCATCTTCAGACTGCAACATTAGTGAATACGGTGTGTGCCTAGGGCTGCTATTAAAATACACAAAGTCATGCTCATGTTACAAAACATATGGGCCAGGTGTGGTGGCTCACAGCTGTCATCCCAGCACTTTGAGAGGCCAAGGTGGGAGGAAGGCTTGAGGCCAGGAGTTCAAGACCAACCTGGGCAACAGTGGGAGACCCTGTCTCTACAAAAACAAACAAAACAAAACACCACCAAACATAATATACATAGCCTCAAGTAAAAAAAAGGAGGTTACTTAACGCATTACAACAAAAAAAGATAATCACCAGAACAACAATAACAACACAAAATGTCCTAAGTGCAAGAAAAGCAAAGACAAAAGACCACAGCAAAAGCCTGTATGTTCCTGTCCATGTGTGGACACATACATACCCTAATGAGCTGTAACACAGAACAGCAGAGGAACCGGCGGGAAACCCACTGACAATATTACACAGTCCTATGAGAAATGCGAAAGGCCTTCTGTGTCATTATGAAGAGCTCTCCAGGACGATGAGATGAAATGAACAAGGCGCAGAAGAGTTCAGCTCCCCTTCAGTATCCACGGAGGACTGGTTCTAGGTACCCCTGTGGATCCCAACATCTATAGATGTTCAAGTCCCTTTTATAAAATAGTTTAGTATTTGCATGTAATCCATGCACATCCTCCCATTTACTTGAAATCATCGCTAGATTACTTATAATACCTAATGCAAATGCTATACAAATAATTGTTATACTGTATTATTTAAAAATATGTATTATTCTTTATTATGGTATTTTAATTGTTTTTCTACCATATATTCTCAATTCGCAGTTGGTTGAATCCACTAGTGTAGAACCCACAGATATGGACAGATGAGTGTCTATTAATATTTATTTTTGAGACAGGGCCTGGCTCTGTCATGCTGGCTGGGGTGCAGTGGCTCAGTCATGGCTCACTGCAGCTTTGACCTTCCTGGGCTCAAGTGATCTTCCCATCTCAGGCTCCCAAGTAGCTGGGACTACAGGCATGTGCCACCATGCCGGGTGAATTTTTGGTTTTGTTTTACATAGAGATGGGGTTTTGCCATGTTGCCCAGGCTGGTCTCAAACTCCTGAGGCTAAAGCAATCTGCCTGCCTCTGCCTTCCAAAATACTGGGATCACGGGTGTGAGGCACTGTGCCTGCCCTGTATATTTAAAAAGCTACTTTTTGGGCTGGGCATGGTCGCTCACGCCTATAATTCCAGTACTTTGGGAGGCTGAAGTGGGTGGATCACCTAACGTCAGGAGTTTGAGACCAGCCTGGCCAAAATGGTGAAACCCCGTCTCTACTAAAAATACAAAAAAAATTAGCTGGGCGTGGTGGTGGCTGTCTGTAGTCCCAGCTACTTGGGAGGCTGAGGCAGGAGAATTGCTTGAATCCGGGAGGCGGAGGCTGCAGTGAGCCGAGATCACACCATTGCGAGCGAAACTCTGGCTCAAAAAATAAAATAAAATAAAATAATAAAATAAAAAGCTACTCTGTGTGTAAGGACAGAGGGTGATTATACATGCAAATTTGCTTGTATTTGCAAAAATATGGAACAGGTGAACCAGGAGCCTAAGAAATGGTATCCATGGTCGGGGAGGGGACAGGGTGGAGGGGACAGGAATCATGGCCAGACTTCTTCATTTTTTTCATTTTTATGAGACACAGTCTCGCTGTGTCACCCAGGTTGGAGCGCAATGTCGTGATCTCAGCTCACTGCAACCTCCGCCTATCTAGTAGCTAGGATTGTAGGTGTACGCCACCATGCCGGCTAATTTTTATATTTTTTCTAGAGATGGGGTTTCCCCATGTTGGCCAGGCTAGTTTCGAACTCCTGGCCTCAAGGGATCCACCCACCTCGGTCTCTGACAGTGCTGGGATTCCAGGTGTGAGCCACTGTACCCAGCCTACAAAGAAATACTAACCTTCTCTCAGCACTCTAGTTCCAGTTGTGCCATGGGAATGTTCACTCTGAAGCGATTATATGAGTGAGTGTACAGTAGAATAACATCAGTGAGTAACTGGGGTAGAATAAGCAACTAAGAAAACGAGGAGAGGAACCAAGCATACCAGCAACAAGAACTAAATACGAAATTCAACACAGCAAAGATCTGGACTATTCAACTGAAAGTGAAACTAACTGCTAGGAACTCTTTGCTGCTGCCCCAGGTATGTACTTCCTAACTTCTCACAGTAAAGGCTGAACAACAATGACGACCCAGCAGCAAAAAACACCCACGGCGCCTGGATCGTGTCTTTAAACACCGCTCCCCACTAATGGCACCTGGAGCCCTGAAGGAGGGGCTGACTGCAGCTCTGGGATGGGAAGTACACAAGGTGAAGGCGGGCATCCCGCTGGGCGAAACGCTCACCCACAGGGCTATAAGGGCAGGGAACCAATTAGAAGGGCTCCAGTGGCTAAGACAGGGCAATTTTTTTTCATTTTCTTTTTTTTGTTTTGTTTTTAAGATGGAGCCTTGCCCTATCGCCCAGGCTGGAGTATGGTAACGCAATCTCGGCTCACCGCAACCTCCACCTCCCAGGTTCAAGCGATTCTCCTGCCTCAGCTTCCTGAGTAGCTGGGATTACAGGCAGGCGCCACCATGCCTGGCTAATTTTTGTATTTTCTGTAGCGATGGGGTTTCACCAGGTTGGCCAGGCTGGTCTTGAACTCCTGACCTCAAGTGATCTGCCCACCTCGGCCTCCCAAAGTGCTGAGATTACAGGCTTCAGCCACTGCGCCTGGCCAAGACAGGACAATTTGACTAGGAAAACAAGTAATTCATGCAACTGACAAACATATAAAGTTCACAATGATGCTGGAGAATAAAAGAGAACCCCTTCCCTACCCCCAAACAAACCCTCAACTCTGGTCAACATTTGGAGTAAGCTCCAACTCTCTATCCTGAAAATCAGTCATCAAAAGGAACAGTTAAGCATTAAACTGCCTTTCTCGTACCATACTTCAAGGTAACAAACTAGTCCTGGCAGATGGAAAGTTCTTCATAGAGGAATTACAGCTCATCAATGTGAAAGGAAAGTGAGAAAAGTGAGCCATGGTTTACTGACTGGGAAAATAGAGGTAATATCCACTACTTCAGCAGGTGGAGCCAAGGATTAAAGATAAGAAATGTCACAAATCCAGCTAGACCACATTAAGACCTCAATAAATATTTACTTTTTCTTTCTAACTCGAGTCTGGAAGAATCACACTGGCCTCCTCCGCACTGCAGGCACCTGCATTCATTTATAACATTCTCTGAAGGCAGACCCTGTAGGTGGCAGAAAGATTCAACGTGGAGTAAATGGAAATAGAGACCAGGGAGGAACTGAGCTGCACACAGTTATCCTGTCCTGTCTTGTCTTCTTTTCTTTTTCCTTTCCCTTTTTTCTTTTCTTTTCTTTTCTATTCTTTTTTTCTTTCTTTTTTTTTTTTGAGATGGAGTTTCACTCTTGTGGCCCAGGCTGGACTGCAGTGGTGCAATTGCAGTTGCAATCTCTGCCTCCTGGGTTCAAGCAATTCTCCCACCTCAGCCTCCCAAGTGGCTGGGATTACAGGTGTGCACCACCATGCCTGGCTAATGTTGTATTTTTAGTAGAGACGGGTTTTCACCATATTGGTCAGGCTGGTCTCGAACTCCTGACCTCAAGTGATTCACATACCTTGGCCTCCCAAAGTGCTGGGATTATAGGTGTGAGCCACTACACCTAGGCAGCGCACAATTTTCTTTACTCTTTCTTATTTATTTATTTATTTTTTGAGACAGAGTCTCGCTCTGTCACCCAGGCTGAAGGGCAGTGGCACCATCTCAGCTCACTATAACTGCCACATCCTGGGTTCAAGCGATTCTTCTGCCTCAGCCTCCCGACTAGCTGGGACTACAGGTGCGAGCCACCATGCCTGGCTAATTTTTGTATTTTTGGTAGAGATGGGGTGTCACCATATTGGCCAGGCTGGTCTCAAACTCCTGACCTCATGATCCACCCGCCTCGGCCTCCCAAAGTGCTGGAATTACAGGCATGAGCCACTGTGCTCGACCTTTTTTTTTTTTTTTTTTGGCCAGCGCACAGTTTTCAAAGTTCCAGGGCTGGCAAGGCACAGTGGGCTCACATCTGTACTCCCAGCACTTTGGGAGGCCGAGGCAGATCTCTTAAGACCAGGAGTTCAGGACCAAACTGGGCAACACAGTGAGACCCTGTCTCTCCAAAAACAGTAAAAAAAATGAGCCAGGCATGGTGGTACTTGCCTGTAGTCCCAGTTACTTGGGGGGCTGAGGTGGGAGGATCGCTTGAGCCCCGGGTTGAGGTCAAGGCTGCAGTGAGTCATGATTGTACCACTGCACTCCAGTCCTGGCAACAGAGCAAGGTTCTGTCTCTAAAAATAAACATTTAAATTAAAAAATGAGGAAAAATAAAAAGTCAATGTGCTCTCTGGACCATACTGTCAGGACATGAAAGGGTCACCTTCTCTTCCTTGATGCTACTGGCGCCCACACAGCAGCTATCAGCACCTGGGATCAAGCACACCAGAGAAGGAAACGCATGGAAACCCACTTCCTCGACGGTGTGCACCGCCAGTGTGAGTCATTACAGAGGGCTGACAGCTGAAAGGGCTGGTTGTCAAGTGCCCAGAAAACACCCCAATGTTAACATGCAGCTACAGCTCCTCAGCAAAGCACCTATTTTGGAACTAGCCAAGAAAATGGCGTGTTCTTGGTGCTGTCCAACTCACCAAGTCGCTGCTGACCAGGAAAGCTGAGAGGTCCACCAGAACCCAGGTGGGGATCATAAAGAAGACAGCGTGGCAGCCCAGGATGTTGAGCAGCCGGAGATGGTGGATCCGTGAATCTCGCAAGACCTGGAAAGGGAAAGCCTCTTTAGAGGGTGATTAAAACTATAAGTGGCAAAAAGGGCTCCAGTGACTCAGGCCCCAAACACAGTGGCTGGACATTAACCCTGACATCTAAGCTTGAACACCAAACCTGCAAGTGCATTTGTGAGGACATACACAGCACAGGCCTGAAACAAGCACCATGTTCCACGCATAAACGACTGGGAAAAGAAAACAAAAATAAAGCAGTAACGGTCAGTGCTGGTGAGGACGAAGTGAAGTAGGCACTCTGAAATTCCACTGGTTTGAGGCAAAATTGGTATAACCTTTCTAGAATATGACCAGACAAACTATATTAAGAGTGATAGGCCGGGCGCGGTGGCTCAAGCCTGTAATCCTAGCACTTTGGGAGGCCAAGACGGGCCGATCACGAGGTCAGGAGATCGAAACCATCCTGGCTAACACGGTGAAACCCCATCTCTACTAAAAGAATACAAAAAAACTAGCCAGGCGACGTGGCAGGCGCCTGTAGTCCCAGCTACTCGGGAGGCTGAGGCAGGAGAATGGCATGAACCCGGGAGGCGGAGCTTGCAGTGAGATCACGCCACTCACTCCAGCCTGGGCGACAGAGCAAGACTCTGTCTCAAAAAAAAAAAAAAAAAAAAAAAAAAGAGTGATAAACGTTTCATACCCTCTAACCTGAGAACTGTAAGCCTATCATAATGAAATAACTGAGATAGGAAAACATCACACACATAATTGTATCTACATTACAATGAAAAGTTGGAAATAACTGGTATTTCCAATAGGGAAACTGCATTAACCATGGTACCTGAAAAGTGTGTGATTATCACAGGAGTTAAGAGCAATAATTTTTTTTTTTTTTTTTGAGACAGGGTCTCACTATTTGTATTGCCCCGGCTGGTCTCAAACTCCTGGCCTCAAGTGATCCTCCAGCCTTGGCCTCCCAAAGTGCTGGGATTATAGATGTAAGCCACTGCACTAGGCTTCAACAAGTTTTGAAATTTTGTTTTAAATTGAACTCTTCAGCTAGGCCTGGTGGCTAATGCCTGTAATCCCAGTGCTTTGTGAGGCTGAGGTGTGAGGATCACTTGAGCCTCGAAGACTGAGGCTGCAGTACGCTATGATTGTGCCACTGCACTCCAGCCTGGGCGACAGTGAGCTCTGGTCTCAGTAAAAGAGCTTTTCTCTATTTTTTTCTTATTGAGCACATTAACTTTATAATAGAATTTTTTTTTTTTTTTTTTTTTGAGATGGAGACTCACTCTTGCCCAGGTTGGAATGCAGTGGTGCAATCTTAGCTCACTGAAACCCCTGCTTCCTGGGTTCAAGCAATTCTTGTGCCTCAGTGTCTGGAGTAGCTGGGATTACAGGTGCATGCCACAATACCTGGCTAATTTTTGTGTTTTTAATAGAGATGGGGTTTTGCCATGTTGGTCAGGCTGGTGTTGAACTCCTGGCCTCAAGTGGACTGCCCGCCTCGGCCTCCCAAAGTGCTGGGATTATAGGTGTGAGCCACTGTGCCTGGCCAAAAAATCAAAACGATTTAAAAAGCAAAATGACAAACAGAAAATCAGCAGATGGCAATCAAGATTTTACTGCTCCAATAGCAAAGAAATTTCGACTCAGCCTGTTTTTCCAATGCCACCAGCTTGCCGCCCGCACACCCCTGAAACCCCATGCACGTCCGCTGATGGTACCCAAATACCTTTTTGGAGAAAATGTTCTGAAGCGAGAAGCACAGCGTGGCGGCGAGGGCGCTGACGAGCCCCCACATGTCGAAAGACAACTCGGTGACAGTGGCCAGCAGGACGCCGCTGATGATGGGGATGAGTGACAAGTACACCTGCAGGAAGAGGTCATCAAGAAGGGTCCACAGGCCAGACTAGAGCTGGGCCACCCACCACAGAGGCCCGGGGAAAGGCCTCTCTCCTCCCTCAGCAAAGGGATACTACCTAACACTTTGAAAATGGTGTTTGCTATGCCAGTGATGCTCCGGGGGGTGGCTCGGGGGAGGTGGTTATTAGAGCACCAGAGGCAGGGCTTATTTGTGGGTAGCCCTATTCCCATATGGTCAGCCTCATTAAGAGCCTCTGCTTAGGGCCACAGCCCAGGGCTGGTCCTAACTCCACAGATCTATTCAGCTGCCACTGACACACCAGGTTTTTTTTTTTTTTTTTTTTTGAGGCGGAGTGTAGCTCTGTTGCCCAGGCTGGAGTGCAGTGGCCGGATCTCAGCTCACTGCAAGCTCCGCCTCCCGGGTTCACGCCATTCTCCGGCCTCAGCCTCCCGAGTAGCTGGGACTACAGGCGCCCGCCTCCTCGCCCGGCTAGTTTTTTGTATTTTTTAGTAGAGACGGGGTTTCACCGTGTTAACCAGGATGGTCTCGATCTCTTGACCTCGTGATCCGCCCGTCTCGGCCTCCCAAAGTGCTGGGATTACAGGCTTGAGCCACCGCGCCCGGCCGACACACCAGGTTTTGAAGCCCTGATCCTCTGTAAGGCTCCCCCTTCCCTCTTTTTAAAAAATAGTTTTTTTTTGAGACAGACTCTCACTCTGTCACCCAGGCCAGAGTGTAGTGGCACGATCTTGGCTCACTGCAACCTCCGCTTCCTGGGTTCAAGCAATTCTCCTGCCTCAGACTCCCCAGTAGCTGGGATTACAGGCATGTGCCACCATGCCCGGCCAATTTTTTTTGTACTTTTAGTAGAGGTAGGATTTCGCCATGTTGGCCAGGCTAGTCTTGAAGTCCTGACCCACATGATCCATCCACCTCGGACTCCCAAAGTACTGGGATTACAGGTGTGAGCCACCGCACCCAGCTCCCATTCCCTTTTACTTCAGGCTCTTCCAGTATGGTTACTCCTGGCTGGGACACTCCACTGATGCCTTCTCCTCCCGCTGACCTCCTGCCTTCACAAGGAAAGCTTTCTCCAACCCACCTCCACCTTGGGAGGCTTCTGTGCTGTGTTCCCAGGGCCACTGCCTGGGCTTCCCCAGCAGAGAGCTCTCCACCCACTCTTTTTTTTTTTTTTTTTTTTTGAGACGGAGTCTCACTCTGTCGTCAGGCTGGAGTGCAGTGGTACGATCTCTGGCTCACTGCAACCTCTGCCTCCTAGGTTCAAGTGATTCTCCTGCCTCAGCTTTCCGAGCAGCTGGGACTACAGGTGCCTACCACCATGCCCGGCTAATTTTTGTATTTTTAGTAGAGATGGGTTTTACCATGTTGGCCAGGATGGTCTTGATCTCTTGACCTCGTGATCTGCCCACCTCGGCCTCCAAAAGTGCTGAGATTACAGGCGTGGGCCACCGTGCCCGGCCTCTGCACCCACTCTGTTACATCATCCAGTTCCATTAGTGTACAACCTTAGGGCAGGTCCTTGTTCGCTGCTTTATCTTGGTGCCTAGCACACAGTAGGCACTCAATAGCCGCTAGCTGAATGAACGAGTAGCAAACATAGTGACAGAAAGCCTTCAACAAGGTCTGGCATGCGGGGCTAAACGACTCCCAACTTCCAGGATCCACCGGGATCCATTCCCGCATGTCCAGCTCTTCTGACTCTTGGCTCAACCCTGTCCCACCAAGAACACTCTTCACTTTGGGAGGCCGAGGAGGGCAGATCACTTGAAGTCAGGAGTTTGAGACCAGCCTGGCCAACATGGTGAAACCCTGTCTCTGTTGAAAACACAGAAATTAGCCAGGAGTGATGGTAAGCGCCTGCAATCCCGGCCACTCAGGAGGCTGAGGCAAGAGTTGCTTGAACCCAGGAGGCGGAGCTTGCAGTGAGCTGAGATCCCACCACTGCCCTCCAACCTGGGCAATAGAGCGAGACTCTGCCTCAGAAAAACAAACAAACAAACAAACACTCTTAAGGAGAGGTAGGAGAGGTGGAGATCTTAGGAGGGAGTGGTCATGCCACAGGGAGGGCAGAGTGAGGGCTGTGGACCTGAATTCCAGCTTCCCCAATACGGGGCTGTGGCCCTCAGGCACCTGATTCTCCCCTCTCAGTCCATCTCAGGAAAACCTGAGATCAGGAATGATGACTACCAGCCTTATCTGCCTTGCAGGGCAGGTTCCTAGAAGTTATGACGTCATTATAATTAGTCTGGCTGTCTAACCGGGCCAATTCCCAGTCTTTCCTCACTGTGTGAAGTTTCCGGCTCCTTGCCCAAGCTGGGTACAATGTCCCGTACAACGGGGAAACCTGATAAACACGATGATATCCGGTGATGCAGCTACACACCTCTGGGAAAGCTTTGACTTCCCAGGAGCCAAGTCACAGTCTGACATCACCCTGGGGGAGCGGGACTGCAGAGCACACACAGGTCTTGCTGGGACAAAGACAGGAGGGAATTAAAAAAAAAAAAAAAAAATCAGCCATAGGTGGCCCAATTTCTATAAACCAATCCAGGACACTGCCTCTCTGAGTTACATAAAACACAAGACGTCAGAAACCAACCACTTGGAAAAGAGGCACGGTGTCCAGCATGAAATGGATTCCAGCTGGGACGACAGGCACCCAACTTCCACTTAAGGATACCGGACAAAGCTGTCTCTGGCTAAAGCCATGGCTATTCTTGCCCCAAGCCAGGAAATACCCTGGTTTGGCATCTTGAACAGAATTTGGACTGTGCCCAAAGCATCCTCCTTATGCAGCCCTGAGTCCTGTGTGCTGCTTTCGCTTCTGTTCCCAGACCATCACAACTTCTGGCTGTTTTAATTTCTAAGACTTTGCTGGATTTTGCCAAGATCAAACTCCTTTGATCGTGTCTGGCTTCGGATCCCAGAGGTCCCCTGACAGCTCTCTCTTGTAAAGAAGTGAAAACCTAGCCAAGTGCAGTGGCTCACGCCTGTAATCCCAGCACTCTGGGAGGCTGAGGCAGACTGATCACTTGAGGTCAGGAGTTTGAGACCAGCCTGGCAACATAGTGAAACCCTGTCTCTATTAAAAATACAAAAAAAAAAAAAAAAAAATTAGCCAGGTGTGGTGTTGCATGTCTGTAGTCCCAGCTATTCGGGTGGCTGAGGCAGGATAATTGCCTGAACCTAGGAGGCAGAGGTTGCAGTGAGCTGAGATTGTGTCACTACACTCCAGGATGGGCAACAGAGTAAAACTCCGTCTCAAAAAAAAAAAAAGTGTAAACCTATCCGACAGCGTTCTGATCCGTCCCTAGTCCCACTGGAAAGGCCACACATGGGGTGTACGGCCAAAATGTGACCAACCCATTACCTACCAGCAAACCCAGGTAGGGTATGGGAGGAAAATTGTATCTGAAAGGGACAACAGTGTTCCTAAGACCACACAGCAGAAATCACAGAGGTACACATACTCCACACACCATTGCTCACAGCGTGATTCTAGAACTTGAGTAGTAAAAGGCCACTGGAGGCCTCTACACTGACTTCCCTATTTGACAGGAAGCCAGGCAGCCTGCAGACCAGGATCCTGACCACGTCACCAGTTGGCAACAGGGAGGAATCCCCTGGAGCTCCCACCTGCCCAGAGTCCCTGCCCGGGGTTACCTTAGTGCTCTGCTTCTCCTTCATAATGATCCGGGACAGGAGGACCACCCAGATGGGCATGGTGGCCTTGACTGCAAAGAGAGGGAAGGGCACTCAGGGGGCTGCCTGTGTTCCAGGGCCCAACCTGTTCCACCTCCACGGCTGGATGGGAGGGCTTGGCAGCCCCTCAGACCTCTTCATCCCTTCTCTGTCGGTAGGGCTTCCTCCCACCACGGCAGTTGTGGTCTGTCTTGCTTACCTCCCAGCTCTCTTCTCAGCCCCTTTTCTCCCTAAGAACCCTGTGCGTGTCCCTCCCCTACCAAAAGCCTTGGTAGCCCCTCTGCTGACTTCTCAGTCCGGCGGGACGCGCCCCGGGCGGCGCACTCCTTTCCATGCGCCCAAGACCCAAGCTGCGCGCCCCGGCCGCCGCCCCCTAGGCCAGGCGCGGAACCTACCCGTGTGTGCATAAGACACGGGCACCTTCCAGATGCTGACGTGCGCTGACACGGACGCGAAGTACTTGCCGAAGGCGAGCGGCAGCACGTAGCGAGGGTAGAAGCGCGGCGGCAGCAGCGGGCCGGACGACGGATGCGGACTGGGTCCGGGGCCCGAGACGGGCGGCGCGGGGGGCACGCGCCAGGCGCGCAGCAGTGGCGGGAGCCCAGCGCACAGAGCTAGGATGTGGCACAGCGACACGGTCACCGGGAACGGGAAGGCGCTCAGGATCACTTTGTTGACCACGTTGCCGCCAGCGCTCAGCGCGTACCACAACAGGCACAGCGCCGCCACCCGCGCGCCCTCGCGCGCCCCGCTACTGCTGCTTGCTGCTCCCGGGCCCCCCGCGCCAGGGCCCGCGCCCACCGCAGCCGCCGCCATCCTGCCCCAGCGGCCGCCCCTTCCCGCCCGTCCGACGGCCCGACGCCGGGCGGGGGCGGGGCTGGGCGGGGGCGGGCGCTCCGGCCTAAGCCGTTTCCCATTGGTCGCTGCCTCTGTGCGTCATCCCACCGCGCCGGCCGACGCGCTAGCCACCACGTCTTGAGTGCAGGCCCAGTCCGCTGTAGATGCGCTTCCGGCGAGGGCGGAGCCGAGGCCGGAAGCGGAAGAAGGGGACGGAGACCTGGATCCAAGCTGTACCACCTGAGACGTGGGCGGTCCCAGTGACCGGGAGCCAGAACTCGAGCGGAACAGGCGAGCAGGAGCGCGGAGGGCTTTGCAGCGTCGGCGTCTGTGCGTGGGCCATATATCAGGGCCTCTACCAGGGGTACGTGGGCACCCCCTAACTAGATTCCTGTTGTCTGGCGGCGGCTGACACCGAAGGTAAAAGACCTTTTGGGGAAAGAAACCAGTTGTGAAAAGCTCTTGAGCTAAACTTGCTCTGCAAACTGGGGCGCACGCGCGTGGCCAAACTCTGGCAGTGGGACTATCCCGGAGCACTCGGTCCTTGGAATCATGTTCTGGAAACCACCGCGACGTGCGCAGTTCTCGGGCCTGGCCCTCGTATCATCGCACTGAATCCTAGGAACGCCGTGCGGTGGGTATCACCATTCCCATTTCACAGACCGAAGTCCAGAATGGGGAAGCGACTTGTCTTAGGCTTCCTGGCCACTCTGGGGACCGTGGCCGTGGCAGCGTCCTTAGACACCTGTCTCCAAGGCTCGGCAGAAGGGAGAGGTGCCGGGCCCTGACGGCTGATGTCCAAGCACCAGCCGGGATGAACCAGCCCCAGGCCCCAGTGAAGGAAAACAAGACGAGGTTTTCAAGATGATCTTATACTAATTCAAGGACTATAATCTGTTCCTCAAATCGTGTACCTCCAATTTTTTCGAGGAAAGGGTGTTAAAATTCCGTTACAGTGTTGTTTTTTTTTTTTTTTTTTTTGAGACGGAGTCTCGCTCTGTCGCCCAGGCTGGAGTGCAGTGGCCGGATCTCGGCTCACTGCAAGCTCCACCTCCCGGGTTTACGCCATTCTCCTGCCTCAGCCTCCCGAGTAGCTGGGACTACAGGCGCCCGCCACCTCGCCCGGCTAGTTTTTTAATTTTTTTCGTAGAGACGGGGTTTCACCGGGTTAGCCAGGATGGTCTCGATCTCCTGACCTCGTGATCCGCCCGTCTCGGCCTCCCAAAGTGCTGTGATTACAGGCTTGAGCCACCGCGCCCGGCCCCCGTTACAGTGTTTCTACTTGTTAAATTAGAAGCAGCAACCCGCTGGGTGCGGTGACTCAAGCTTGTAATCCCAGGACTTTGGGAGGCCAAGGCGGGCGGATTGCTTGAGCTCCGGAGTTGGAAATCAGCCTGGGCAACATGGCAAAACCTCGTCTTTGCAAAAAATACAAAAATTAGCCAGGTGTGGTGACGCACGCCTGTGGTCCCCACTACTAGGGAGGCTGAGGTAGGAGGATCGGCTTGAGCCCAGGCCAAGGCTGCAGTGAGCTATGATGGCACCACTGCACTCCAGCCTGGGTGACAGAGCAAGACCCAGTCCCAAAGAAGAGTAGAAAGCAGCAACCCAACTTGGCCCCCCAAATGTTGGAAGGTATCTTTGCTTATCCTTGCATTCTCAAAGGCAGGTAACATTAGTGCCCTAGGCCCTCCTGGATACATGGACACAGGCATGGTAGTCCCTGCAGGCAGGGGTAGGGGGGAGCTGCAGCCTGTCCCAAAGTTCTAGAGATGCTGATAGGAGGCCAAGCTCTGCACCTTAATATCCTCCAGCTGTGCCCTGTGTGTATCAGAGTAAAGTCACATCCTTGAGACACCACATATCAGCAGAGCTGTTAAACATAGGCACAGTGAACTTGGGAAAATGTATATAGGCACCCTACAGCACAGCTGAGTGTTAGATACTTCCACTGACATGCTGTGTTTTAGTTTTCAAAACTCTGGGGTAGGTATTTTCACCCCCCAAATGGGGACATGTGCACAGGAGTGAAGAGATGAGCTCAGAGCCACACAGCTGGTGGGTGGCAGGCCTGGGTTCAACCTTATCCTGCCCTCAAAGCCACTTCGCCCATGGCCTTTTGTTGGGGAGGGGAGTGTATTCTGCACCAAGCTTTTGCCAGGAATCCCTGCTAGCTCTGAAACTGGCTCTGGACTGACTGTAGTCTTACAGGCTGGAAGGAACCCTTGGCTTGCTCTGTGAGATTGCATGTCTTAAGGTGTAGCTGTTTCTTCATTTGTGAAATTAAGCAGATATGGGTAAGATGACCTATTCCAAAGTGAAAAATTAGAAAACCAAAGTCTTAGCCTACAGTTTCAGGGAAGAGGGGGAACTAAAAGATGATCACTTTACAGTCAAGGGAGAACTATTTTTTTTGGAGTCAGCAACAACCAGCTAGTAAGGCAGCCGGGCGCCAGGGCCACAGGGTGGGCTGCCACACACACACACACACACACAGCTCTGAGCCTCTGGTATTTTGTTAAGGTGTGGGTAGTCACTGAGACCTATGCTATGGAGCCTCCTACGGAGGGCTGCTCTCTAGGCCAGGTAAAGTCTGGGTGAGACAAGATAACGTTCCTTAATGTGGCCCTGAATGAATAAAATGTGGAGGTCCTCCCAAATGCAGCAGCAGGCTAGCAGGTGGACTTGAAGGCACAGTGCCCTGTCCTGTGTCCCTGCATTGCGGCTGTTGGGGTCTAGGTCTTTCTGGGTAATCCACAGTCCAGGAAAGGGCTGATTTGGCTGTGAAGGTCCAAATGAGAAAAGATTCTCAGACTGGTTTGTGCAAATGGTTTTTGTTTTTTTTTTTTATTTCCACATTTATATCACAAGGTGTCCACTTACTGGACCAAATAGCAAAGTTGCTCCCTTCTGCATCCTGAGAACACAGAAGTCTAGGTACTGTACATTCACTAAGGCTCCTTGTTTTTGCAAATCGCGTTTATGACAAATAACCATAAGGCAAAAGAATCTAAAGGAATGGTTATGAGTGTTTCCAGCGTACAGACAGGTCTTCCCCCTCGCCCCACAGTACAGCATAAAACCAGTAGCACCCACAGTAACTTTTGTGTTGTTTTGGGAGGACTCTAGAAAGGTGAAGTTTTCTAGATGTGTACAGGAAGGGAAAAAAGAAAGGGAGGAAGAAAGGAAAGGTTTTTTGTCTGGTGGTCTGATGGAAGGAGTTGTTAAAATAAACATGAAAAAACTTAAATTTTTGCAGCATTTCTTTAAAAACGGGGTTATAACTGAAACCAGATATAAACAGGTGGCTGCCCGTGGAGTGTGGGTCACCCTGGCTGGCCAGCTGGCCTGCCTGCCCAATGCCAGTGGCTCACCACAGCTGAGAAGCTTCTGGCACATGACGGACAACACTGACCTGACAGTGGCTGGGTAGGGAGCAAACAGAGGCAGCATGGCCCACTGTCTCACAGACACTCAGGGCCAAATTAAAGAACAGAAAATGCAAGAGAGATGAGATGCGTGCTTCTGTTGCTGTGTTAAAGGTAACCTCTCCACAGGTTTTCTGTGCCTGCCTGCAACTGAGGTCCCAGCTTTCAGGTGCTGGAAAGTGTCCGCACCTCTTCAGGGGTGAGGGACTAACGCTTTTTATAGCTGGTTTGCTATAGAGTTCTGAACTCACTTTGCCGTCCTTCCTTCCACGCGGTCCTTCCTTTGCAATTTTGTTAGTAAACTGGTAGCAGCATTTCACAAAAGGAGAGTTTTGAGGGAAGAGTGCAGAGAGACCGCGTGACTCCCGCCCCCTCCCTCCTGCCCGGGCCGGACTCCCCGAGTTCCCAGCGCAGGAGGCAGCTGGGCCCCGGCCACCTGCCCACCTGCCTGCCCGCCCGCCCGCCCGGCTTCTGCAAGATGGGAATGCACTTCGTGGCTGACGGGCCGGTCAGTCCAAACAGACATAAGGCAGAATGTTCAAGCGCCCGTCATCGCCGTGCGGATCAAGCGATATGCACTGCGTCCAGTCATACCAGTTACCCTGTGTGTCCTGACACCCGTTCACCCCCGGCCACTGGCTGGCCTGGATTCTGTCGAGATCGTCCTGTGTGATATCCCGGGTCAGCCCGGGGAGGTCTGTGGGCGGGCTTTGAGGCACCAGCACGTGCAGCTGCCTGGCCCCTTGCCGGGTGCTCTCCTCCTGCTTCAGGTACTCAGACATGAAGTGGTGAGCCCCCGGGGTCTGCGCGCCTGACGATGAGAGCAGGCTGCTCTGCCGGCTCAGGTAGGACTGGATGATCTCATTGCGTGACAGCTCCTTCCAGTTCGTCTGTTCAAAGGGGCTCTGGAGGCTGGCCTTGGCCTCCTGCTTGTCCAGCTCTGTCCTGGACTGCTGCTCCATGTGCACAGGGCTGTCTGCCCGCACTGGCTCTTTCTGGGTCAGAGGTTTGATCTGTCTTGTCATGGGGTCAAAGGTGAGCTTCCGCTCTTTTAACCGGACAGGCTTGACGCCCGCCTCAGCCACCTGCCCGTCCAAGTTAACCGTGTAATCTCGAGGCCGGTACCTCTTCTTCTTTTTACTGTCCGAGCCCCCTGAGGAGGCAGCGTCACTGTCCGCCTTGGAGGAGTCTGGGGAGAAGCCCGCCCGGGACAGGAGGGGCTCGGCTGGGGACAGCCCTGCCTTGCAGCCCGGCCCCGCCAGCCGCTGGTGGCTTTCCGGCTGCTCAAGCCAGCGCACTGGGCTTTCTGCACTGGGCAGCAGCTCAAGCCGCCGTACAGGGGGTGTGGACGGCTGTGCCAGTGGAAGCGGTGACGGCACCTGTGTGGCATCGAGCGCCTGGGGCCGCGGTGAGGGGCTGGGCACGGAGCCTTTGGGTGCATACAAGCTCTGCTGCCGGGCAAAGGAGCCCTCATGCCGTGAGTTCCGAGGACTGAAAGAGCAGCGAGGGGGTCCCTTGGGGTGGGGAGGCCCCGGAGTCTCATCCACCCTGTCCAACTGCTGCAGCACCGAAGCCTTTGGCTGCAAGCAGGGTCCAGGGGGCTTGCCCAGGCCCGGGGAGCTGGTGTGCGGCCGCACAGCGTTGACGGGGATCTTGCCACTGTGCTTGTCATTCTCGCCACGCTCCAGGCGGCCGCCCTCTGGGCCTGCATGCCCACTGCCATCCAGGGAGCCGGGGAAGCTCTCTGGACTCCCACTGATGCCATTCGTAGGGAGGGGGGATGAGTTGGGGACCAGGGGGTCGTGGCTAGCTTTGGAGACCTTAGGTGGCGGTCCTGGGTGGCCGAGGTCACGCTGGTCACCCCGGCGCTTGCGGCTGCCCAGCCTGTCCAGCCGCTGCCCGGGCAGCCTCTGGAGGTCATTGCGGCTCTTCAGGTCATGGATGCTCCTGGGCGGGCCAGCCGCCCCCACCTCCGGCCGGCAGTTGTGTGCACCCCCGTTGGCAGAGCCAGTGGCCCCCGCCAGCCCCCGTAGCGCTGCCTCATGCTGGTGCGCTGGCTCGATGAGCTTCTGCCAGCTCCGCAGCAGCTTCTTGGCCCGCTTGGCGAGCTCCTCGTTCTTGGTTTTCTTGCGGACGTCGTTGATGAGCTTCCCAAGTCGTGTTTCCTACAACCAGAAAGAGAGATGATGACATACTTTCGGGACAGGGACTTCCCCATGAGCTGAGCCAGAAATGGTGGGAAATGGCCCTGACAATGAAATGACCTGGTTCCCACTGAGCCCTAAACTGCCAGCTTCCCTGGCACAAAACTTCTGGGGATTTCCGGTCCTTTGTGACAATATAAATTCTCAAACCTAGTCCCCAGACCTTCAGGGTCCCAGGTGGCTTCTCAGCAGTGCTGTCCCGCAGGCTCCTGGTGCCAGGGGGCTGTGGACTGTCAAGGCCACTGTAAGGACACTGCCAGGGAGGCTTTCTGGATGAGAAGGTGCTGTGGCCAAGGTGGCAGCACAGAGGGTCTGCTTCAAGTGGAGGGTTGGGGACGGCGCCTCTCACTGGAGCCTCTCCCAAGCACACCTCTCCTGATGTCCCCATGTCCCCACATGCCCATGAAGTGTGCTGGGCATGTAGGATGGGTTAATGCCACTTGGTCACTGCAGTGGCCACGGGAGAGCAAGATCATGGGGCACAAGCTGTGAGGGCACACCGCCTCTCTTGGTCCTCTGAAGCAAAGACACACGCTCCTAGAAGCTGGGGAAGGACCTGGGTTGGTGCCGTCCCCTGTCCCCCATTCTGCACTCCCAAATGCTGGGGTCTGGGATACTCACCTCAAGTGCCTCTTTGGTAATGGGGTATTTCTCCAGGCTGGAGATGACTTCCAGCACCGCCACCATGTTCCGGATCTGTGGAAATAAAGAAAAAGCCATTTGTCAGGTCCCTGCCCTTCTCCCCTGGGAGGCTGGGACACCCTACCCCAGCCTGCTCCAGTCTCTCCCCAACCCCAGAGCAAGAGGAGCTGGCAGCACTGAAGCCCCCACTCCATGTAGTCTCCTACCTGCTCCCCAGGCCAACCTGGTGCCCAGTGCTCATCCTCACCCGCTGTCCGACCTCCTCCAGTGTGTGGTGTGCGGTCTGCTCCAAACCCTCCAGTGTACATGGTACATATCCACCCACCTGCTGAAACCCAGGATGCTTGTGAAACAAGAGCTGCTCCTGATACTTAAAATGACCTCTACTCTGCCATCTGATGGGAGTGGGAGAGGAGACACTGAAGAATTCATCGAATAAAATCCACAAAGCTTAAAAGATCAATACATAGGCTGGGCGCGGTGGCTCACGCCTGTAATCCCAGCACTTTGGGAGGCCGACGAGGGCGGATCACGAGATCAGGAGTTTGAGACCAGCCTGGCGAACACAGTGAAACCCCATCTGTACTAAAAATAAAAAAATTAGCTGGGTGTGCTGGCATGCGCCTGTAGTCCCAGCTACTCGGGAGGCTGAGGCATGAGAACTGCTTGAACCCGGGAGGGCAGAGGTTGCAGTGAGCCGAGACCACGCCACTGCACTCCAGCCTGGGTGACAGAGCGAGACTCCGTTAAAAAAAAAAAAAATTCAATACATAATAAACCAGTCAATTTGAATCCAAAGACACCATAAAGAGAGCAGAAAGTCACAAAGTGGGAGAAGGCATAGACCACAAGCCCCAAGGAGCTGTATCTGGAACACACAGAGAATGCCTGTGCAGCAGTGCAGCTGACCAGGAGCCCAGCGCACAGTGGCTACAAGACAGGAACAGGCACTGTGCAATGAAATGTCAGCGCTAATGCTCAGCTTCTCAGCTTTATCAATAATTAGGAAAACTCAAACTGAACCCACAAATGGATATATGATACACACACCCCACTGACAATACTAGGTACTTCTGGGGGTACAGCCGACTTTGGAAACGGCTGGACTTTGTCTGGCAGAGTGAAACATGAACACATCCCATGACCGAGTAATCCCACTCTTTTAGGATCTTGCTAGGAGCCACACCTTGTTCTAAGCACTTCCCACACATTACTAACTCCTTTAATTGTTACAACAAGAATTCCTACCGCTCAACCGCCACCTCCAGCAGCTACAGGTTTCTGGTGGGCTGGCTGGCAGGCGGGAACCCAGGGGCCCTGAGGAAACCACAGTGAGTAGATTACACAACTCCCCCCCACCCCAACATGATAAAGGAGTTAAGCAGGCACATGATACAAATTAAAACAGCGTAAAAGGGCACACAAGGAAATGGGCATCTCTGACCCAGCCACTGTAGCATTACCTTGCATTTTTTTCCAAAAATATCCCTTGTGTATACAGGTGTATACATCTACACTTGTCACATATTTCAAAACCAAACTGACCGTGGTTCTTGCCTTTTCTGACTTAACAGCAATGTCCAGCCTCAAACAGAGCCCCTCATTTGGCTCACCATCCCTTCCAGAGTGAGGAAGGCCCGACTTGAATGTTGTGGGACACTTAGGCACTTTCTGTTCGCCATTACACAACAAGGCTGCAACTGACGGCAGTGACAGACTTGACTCTGGGCTAATGCACAGACAGCCGCGGAGGAGCCGGGGCTTCACATCCATGCAGGGTGGTCACCTCGCCCCCAGGGAGGCTGCTCCATTCCATTCCCACCAGGCCACATCCTTGCCAAGACTGCGTGGCATGAGTTTCCATAACACATGATTGTAAACTCAGCATCTTACACAGCACACATTTATCATCTCAGGCTCTAGGGCTCGGAAGTCAGGTCTTGGTCTCACTGGGCTGGGATCCTCTCTGGAGGATCCATTTCCTGCTCCTTCAGGTGTTAGCAGAGTTCAGCTCTTATTTATTTATTTTTTTGACACGAAGTTTTCCTCTTGTTGCCCAGGCTGGAGTGCAATGGCATGATCTCAGCTCACTGCAACCTCCGCCTCCTGGGTTCAAGCAATTCTCCTGCCTCAGCCTCCCGAGTAGCTGGGATTACAGGCGCCCGCCACCACGCCCAGCTAATTTTTGTATTTTTTTAGTAGGAATGGGGGTTTCACCATGTTGAAGGCTGGTCTGGAACTCCTGACCTCAGGTGATCCACCCTCCTTGGCCTCCCAAAGTGCTGGGATTACAGGCGTGAGCCACCGCGTCTGGCCGAGTTCAGCTCTTTACACTGCAGGAATGAGGCCCATTTTCTTGCTGGTTGTCATCCGAAGCCATTCCCAGCTTCTGGAGGGCACTGCATCCAGCTCACAGCCCCTCCCCTTATGCCAGCTACAGGCCGAGTTCTCGCCCGGCATCTCTCTGACCCAGCCAGGATAGGTGCCATCTCTAAGGACTCCTTGACTAGGCAGGGCCTGCTCAGATGATCCAGGATCATCCCCCCATCTCCAGACTGTTCCCTTAGTCACATCTGTCATGTACAGTACCACGTGCCTGGGCTCCAGGACTAGAATGTGGACATCCTTGAGGGCTGTTAATTCTGCTGGCCTCATGGATTCTGGCTTTTCTACTCTTCTGCCCCACTTCCAGGGCAAGGCAGCCACTGCCCCTCCCTCCCTTCCCGTGTTGTCTCCTCTGGGTGTAAAGTTGCAGAGTGACCACAGAGCCACGACAGCAGTCCCTGCAGAGCTCCCACAAAGCTGCCCCTCTGCCAATGGGCCCATTTGCTCCTTGGCAACAACGGCCTTGCCTTGCAATGTTCTCATTCAGGGCTCCAAATGACCCTGAAAACCCTGCTTCGAGCTGCATCATGATGGGGGTGGGTGGGTGATGTGAGAGGAGATGCAGTCCTGTCCGCACTCCTCATGCAATGGGCAGGGATCAGTGCAGGGGAGGACTGCGCCGTTAGGAGGCCAGTCCTAGACAGATAGCAAGGCCAACCACACCCTGGCCCAGGCACTCCAGCACCGACTCAGTCCCTGGGCTTGCCACATGGCTTCACCTCCACCCTGCTGACCTCACCCTGGTATATTTGGAGCCTTGGTTCCCCACATACTCCTGAAGCAGCAGTCCTTGCAGAGCAGAACACTGCCCAGGCCCAGCTAGCCTGGTGGCACAAAGTGTCCTTGTCCTTGGGCAGACACCATCCTGCTGCCAGAAAGGAGGGAGGAGACAGAACACCTGGGCAACCCCAGGGTCTGGCACTGAGCTGGTGCCCCAGAAATCACTGCTGAACCAACAGCCAGCCCCAAGAGTCTCCTGGAAGCTGTGTGGGAGCTGGGGACACCAGGCGAAGGTCTGAGGGCCCTGTGACTGGGTATCCTCACCCCTGGCCCCTCCCCTGCCTCATGAACCATGCTTAAGTGTGTGCAGAGAGGCCTTGAGCCTCTAGGAGCCCCAAGGGAAATGCTACATCCTTGGCAGTCCCCTTTCTGTCCCCAGCGTGTGAGCCGCTCACCTGAGGAGTAGAGGAGCCCGTCTGCTGTACCTGTAAGGTGCTAGAAACCTACAATCCTACGCCGTAAACAGATGAACTCTGCCAACCCCTGGCGGGGCAGGAAACGCATCCTCCAGAGAGGAGCACAGCCCGCTGCTGCCTGGATCCCAGCCCAGTGAGACTGGACCTGACTTCTGAGCCCTAGAGCCTGAGATGATAAATGTATGTTGTGTAAGACACAGAGAGAGGGTGAGTGCCCAATGCAGCCACTCCCTGGAGCCAGCAGAAGGCAGTCAGTGATGTCAGCAGAGCTAAGGATGGGGGCAAGATGAGATTGTCCTGCCCTGTGACCTCTGGGGTCTTGATGTCAAGCAGCCTGAGCACTGTGTGGGGAGAGCCACCTGGGCATTCCAGACATAGGCCTCCCAGGCCCAGGAGGCAGACACTGAGCAATATAGCGAGGAATCCCTGCAAAGGGACTGGCCCGGACCCCTTGCCCCCGAGCCCAGGCACACTGAGCCAGAATGCTCCACAGAGCCTCTTTATAGATGGCCACGGTCTGTCCCAAGGAACACTTAGCACCCAATTGGTGTTGGTCCCATAGGAGCAAAACATGAGCTGGCTTCTGACCCTGGCCCTGGGGACCCTGCCTTAACAAGCAACTCACCCCCTACCCAGGAGTGGCAGGTCTCCCACTCTCACGGAGGTGGCCCTGTGGGTGGCAGAGGCGCCAGGACTTGTATGTGGCTGAGGGGAGGCTCCCGCTCTGACTCCAGGCCTGAGAAGTCCAGCATGAACCCTCAGGGCAGAGAGGCAGGCCACAGGGTGAGGGCAGCACCTAAGGTGGCCTCCCAGGGAGGTCAAAAAAGGATGTAGCAGAACGAGCTGTGTCTACCTGGGCTGGAGACTGACCTCCATGCTGAAAAGCAGAAAAAAGCTGGAGAAGAATGGGCAGGGAGCTGGGCAGTGAGCTGGGCAGACAGCATCAAAGCCTTACGGCAGGGGAGGGGCCAGGGGTAAGGACATCGGGAGGAAAAGCAGACCAAAAAGATCCAAGGCGGCTCCTTCACAAGCTGTCTTCTATCCCCCTTAGCCACTGCCCCCACAGACCACCTGCCCTTGCCCTGTTTCTGGGATGCCCTTGGCACCTGTCCATCTATCTGGGGAAGTACACTAGATCCTAATCTCAGCACAGACAGTTTCGACTCCACATGGGGAGCCACTCCAGATGACAGCCTCAAAGGATGGCTTTAGGGCAGCTCTTCCGGCTTGCCAGGGCCACGTCTGTGGCCCGATGGCCAATTGCAGCCTCTTGCTGTCAGGAATAGCCTGGCACATCTGAGGCCCCCTCATCCTTTGGATTCTCCCTTGGGATTCGTTCCCAGTCGAAAAAAACCTCTCAAAACACCTGCCAAGTGGCTTTCCCAAAGCGGCAGGAATCCCATCAGGAAGTGCAGCCTCTCACTTCTCCACTAGGGACCCCTCAATAGATGCAGATGGGTCTGACCTTCCTTA